ACCATCTGTTTCCTAAAGCAATTGAAATCTTCAGTTATTACCATAAAGGAAATACACTGACTGGAGGCATGACCTCATGCTGCTACATGTCTCAGGAATCAGTCGCCACTGAAGTTAGGCCTGTCTACCTTTTTCTAAGAGATGGGGTGAAAAGGAGGTTTCTTTTCAATACTGGTTGCTCAGACTTTGTATACTTAAAAAAAAAAATGTGAATTATACATTTGAAAGAGTATTACATGTCTTTGGAGTTAAATAAATACAAGGAATATTCATGTATGGCCGTCACCAACTCAACATATTATCAGACTCTGTCAAGCCCTCCACATACCTCTACCCAAGTGCATCCCTCTTCCAGCCCTCCCCTGGGAATGCTAACATGCTTTTCATTATACAAAAAGTATGAGTTGTTTGAGTGATACTTTTCTGATGAAAAAGTTAGATGTGATTCCCGAGTACTGTTATAAAAGGTGCTGGCAGCAAATGGATAACCAAATGAGGTATTCTGAGGTATCACTTTCTATTCAAACTGAGGTTTTCAAGTGAGCCCTTTCCGATTCTAACTTCACAACCACTGCAGCATAATAGTGTGCTGAAGACAGATTTGTCACGAAATTGTGGTGAAGGTGCAAAAAGAATTTTTGCCACAGCTGGGGACATTATTTTTATGGCAATGGCTGACACAATGTTAAGCTGAGCGGGTGCTACAGATGGTTAAGGGCAGAATTCAAACTGCAGAAAGAGGGAGTAGGCCGTTTAGACAGCACCGAAGAAAAAGTTTCCTGCAACATGCAAGAAATCTGTTGTGTAACTACGTGAGAGAACTTGGTCACGGCAGTAGATACTCTACTCATACAGTCTGATGAATACGAGTGTGCTAACTCATGAAGCATTTAATTCTTACAGGAGAGCTATAGGTTCTAGTATTTAAAAATGTGCCCCAAACACTAAGGTATTTCTGAAGTGGTTTAACAAGTTTTCATCATTTATTCCCTGCACTAATGTACCCTATGATGAAATAATTTGTGTCTCTTCCCCTCCACCATGACCGTGATTCAGAAACACGTCTGCCCAGGGCTGGAGGAAATGAAATGCAGCTCCACCACAGATTTGGTAGTGTTTGTACACAGCAGCTAAAAGATTCCCCCAAACTGGACGTAATTTTTGGTGCTACTTAGTTTATGAGGATTAAACTAGGAAAAAACTTGGAGCTTTAAGGGAAATTGCTTTCAGAATGGGGGGAGAGGAGGGAAGAGACACAATTAGGCCATGAGGCAGAGACTCTTGGAGAGATGCCCAGAGAAGTAGGAAATCTTATTTCCATCTCTCCTCTATCTAGCTTTTCTATCCCAAAAAAGGCCCGGCTTCCTGTTCTATGACTGGAATGTGCTCTCTTCTTGCTTTTGGGATTTGCTGAAGACAATATGGCTGCAATTAAGTGATTTGGGTGTTTTTCTTCGCATTTAAAAGATGCAGTATAAGTAGCACCTTAAACAATATATGTGAATCAAAGGTTAACTTTTATGCCAAAAAACATGTTTTTTAGGATGATTTTTTATTTCAGGAGATGAACACAGAAAATTCTCACTTGTATTCTTTTCTGTTATAGCTAGAATAACCAAATAATTTATCCGTAAAACCAGGCAACTTTTGAGAATGCAATGAGAGTGCTATTAATAATTACATCTGGACAACATAAACCAAAATTGTTCCAGGCCAAGTGAAATAAATGACCACTTCCAGTGCAAGCTTGGTGTTCAGTAAATATTAATGTATTATCATGCTGTGTAACTTTTAGCCCTCTAGCTTGATGATCTGGTAAAAAGGAACATTCATATAGATATTAGATGTTATGCTATTAACACTAAATAGATCTCTTTGTCTAGAGAGAATGTTCCACTTTTTCCCCTTGTGGTACTTGGAACAATATTATCTGTTTTACAGATAAAGTAAATGAGCACAGGAAGCTAGCCAACTGCACCAAATGACACTGCACAGCTGAGCTCAAAGCTACAAATTCTGTCTCCTAAATCCCCTACAACTGTGTTGCTCACTGGACCATGAAGGGCTGCCTTCTAGAATTTTGATCCAATTTCTATTACAGATTCACCAGAGATGGAGACTTATTACCACCTTATAGATAAGAAAGCTTGTGAAATTTGTAGAGGCTCTCTCTTCACATTACTGTAATCCTCTTCATACCACTTCCGTAAAAATTCCAAGTTCAAGTCCTGCTCATTAGTCATGTGGTTTGGTCTTCTTCTGTAAAGATTTCTTTGGGCATTCAAGGGATCCAGGTATTCATTAAGTATAGTACTTGGGATTTTTGTGTGTTGGCAGTAACTAAGCAACAGTTAAGATGTTTTAACTTAGCATGTCTTGCACTGCTAAGTTTAAAAAAAGAACTGTCGCGCCTTACTTGGCACAATCTCCTGTGGACTCTCCCACCCTCTGTACAGTTCCTGTACATCTTGGCTGCTCATCCACTGCTAACAGAGACCTCTTCTGTCTCAGCTATTCTGACAGCCTTGTCTGAACCTTTCCCACTGAAGGGTAGCTGGGCACTCAATGTGTGTCTTCAGCAAGATTGGAGCTAGTGGTCTGATCATTCAGTACTTTTTATAACAATTCTCTCATCCATATCTTATTATCTACTTTTAACTGCTACTCCTTTGCCTTTATGAAAATATAACTTAAGTTAGCAGTTTAAGAACTATGCTTATTCACTAAACAACAGATATGCAATCCGAACATAAACACTAGCTTTTTAAAGTGAATATCCAATGAAACTCATTCAATGACAAAATGTGTGAAAACTCTGCTATATAACATTCAAATGTTAGATGGATTTGACTTTCAAGGTGTACAATTTTGGAAACAGAATTACAGCACTACAGCAACCATGACAGAAACACACATATAATACTGAGAACCTGTTTTTAGGAAAGCAGCAATTCTGTACTGCAGTGGTGTAGGGCAGAAGTTCTGCTATCAGTCATGCCTGGGATTGTTGCACAACATAAAAGCTATGTGATTTCTATAACCTCTTATCTTTAGTTTCATCATCTATAGAATGGGGTAAGAACTGCCCATCTTAGAGGTTTGCTGAGGCATAACTGAGACAGCATGTTTATTATTGTCAACTAGATAAAATCTGTCTTCTAGATTGCATCTCAAAAGCAGGGGTGTTTAGAACTGAATGAAGTATGTAAAGTGTACAGAAGAGCTCTCAATACTAGCTTCCAGGAAATGAAGCTGGATGACAATTAGGACAATACATGAGCTCAAGTTTAAAAAGTTAACCAGTTGAGTGTTATCTTAGGAGAGTTATCCCATAGCTTTGGGGCAGTGGCCTCTTACGAGGATAAGAACAAATCAGAATGTCTTGTGGACTGAGAATCAAGGAACTGCATAAAAAGGGTGTTGCAGGCCTGAGCAAAATATAATCTAGTGGAGAAATCTTAAGTCTTGATGACAAAAGAGCAGGTGCCATCATTGATGTGGTATGACCTTGGGAATTTACTTAGCCTCTTTAAAGGTTTCCTTATTTCTGTAAGAGAAAAATTTTTTTAACCTAATCTTTCAGGAATTCTAAATGACCATTTTAAAAAATGAGGCCTAACACAAAACATGACCACAGCAAACACTTAAAATGTTGGATTTCCTCACTGCTTATGTGACACTAACACTTTAAACATGGCTTAGAATTTTAGATGGCCTGACACTCTATTATACTTGTGAATCTGTGATTATTTTAGCAAACCTCAACTAGGAAACATGATCATCTACTAAGTTTTTACAACTGAAAAGCAACAAACCTTTTCAATTCAACAACTTTTCGGAGATGGGGCCTTTGGGACACAGTTAGGTTAGACAAGTTTATAAGGGTGGAGCCCTCGTGATGGGATTAGTGCCCTTATTAAAACAGAGAACTTGCTTCCTCTTCTTCTACCAGATGAGGACACAGTGAGAAGGTAGCCATTTGCAAACCAGGAAGTACCCTTACTGGGGAATCGACTGGCCAGCACCTTCATTTTGGGACTTCCCAGCCTCTAGAATAGTGAGAAATTGCTTTTGTTTAAAATTACCCAGTGTGTGATATTGTTATGGCAACCCCAATTGACTAACACAGTGAGTAAAATACATAAAGTGAATGGCATTGAAACTGTTGTATTCTTATTTAAAATAAGTGAACTACTTAGTTAGGATTCTATACTGCTTTAGAGAGCTGTTGCAAAAAGATTGTTGCTAAGTTTTAATATGGTGGTAAAAAAAAAAAAAAAAAAAAAAAAGAGCCTGCTTGGGTCAAGTACCCAGGGAAAGACATGTTTGTTAAAGCAAATATCATTTAACGATGGGGGGAACAAACAGCCCTGCTCCAGAATGGTCTTATATTTCACTGCTTCATTTTGGGTGGGTACTTTTAGGGGATATGAAATAAGACATCCAATTTAAAAATTTATAGCTGCATTTTGTCCAATTATAAGGCAAAATACAGAACTCCCTTTCCAAAGTAGAAAGCACTACAAATACATTTACTCACAGTCCCCCTCACACTGGGGATGAAAGGCTAGCAAACTCCTATGGAAAAGAAATGGCAAACTATACAAGTTTAATAACGTGACCCTCACTAAAGGAATAGCAGTTACGGCAAGAGCAGAACCATCTTTCATAAAAGAAAGCGGGGGTGGTGGCCGCAAGGACAGATAAGGGAGGGTCCCTAACTTTGCATATACAGATAATCTGGTTACAAAGAATAGCCTGGCCTTGAAGGAAGAAGAGGAAATCCTCACATTGGACGTCATGTTGCTGAAAGAGGGTCTGTGGAAGAAGGGCCATTCCCAGACAGTGTATTTAAATAAATGCCTTGGTGAATGTGGGCCATACATAGAGGGGCATCTCAGGCCCTCCTTCCATTCTTTATGACAAATGTGCAGTTAATTAGGCTCTGGACTTGCTCAGGAAAGCCCAGAATTGGGCCTAAACAATAAAATACATGGAAAAACTGTGAAACCATGAAAATACATTTTTTAAAAAAGTTTTCAGGTATAATACACAAAAGCAAACAAGTTTATCTTAAAAAATATCAAGTATTACATCCATAGACTATTCCTAATTATAATTACTTCTTAAAGCAACATTTGTCTTTGTTTACAAATACAGCAGCAGGTGATAAAACCTAACGTCTCAAACAGATTGCTTACAGTTCATAATACAAAAAAATGTATATGTCTCAAATCACATTTTAGGCAGTTTAACTTAAAATGCATAGACAATTACATACATTAAATTTGTCATTACTGTCAATGAAAAAAATCACAATATCAAGAAAAAAATACAAAAAACCTTTACAGAGCACACAGAAGTCAAGTTTACTTAATGGCAACAAATCAGTATCTGCTAATCAGTGACAGGCAGTGCAAGTGCCTTTACCAGGGGAAAAGTGAAGGGGAAAAACATCCCATTACTTTGCATACTTGAAAAGTTGCACGAACAAAACTACAATCTTGTAACACATTAATTTCTTACTTAAGAAAAAGGTATACCATACTTTGCTCTTTAAAATGCCCAAAGGCTGGTCAATACTTTCTACCAGCAGCAATACCAAAATGTTTATCTATGTAAACTAATCATGGGTATACTAATGAATTCTGTAATGCCACCCCTAGACTGTGAGCCTCCCAAAGACAGGCATTCTCTTTATCTCTGTATCTCTATATTTCTGGCATCTGAATAAAGCACCTGGATCACAGAAACTTAAGTGTCTGTTGATTAAATGCAATTCTCAGATGTAGTCTACAGCCAAAAGACTGCATGACATTTCTTTAACACTGATTATTTTATCGGCAATTTTTGTTTTTCTTGGCAGAATTCTGAAAATAAAAAGAACAGTGGCTGTCTTCAGTACTACATATTGCTCTATTAAGATTAAATTATAGTCTTCCCTGAAAGCCACCCACCACTTTCTATGCATAGTGCAGTGCATCAGTGTGATTCATCTCAATTTAGCCTTCTGCTTTTCAAAAACTTTAACTCTCTGTGCTTAGGTTTAATTTCCAGGGTTTATAACCCTTGCATTTTATAAAGTTAGCACTAGATTATTCAGGTGAGGAAGGAAGACATAGCACTAATTATTTAGAAGTATAGCAACTGATCAATAATGCAAACTGGGAACAGTATTTTAATTGAAACTGAGCAGAGCTATGTTCATCTACACAGTTTCAAAAGCTATACATCTGAGTACATATAGGTAGCACTGATTATTTATGAGGTAAATTATCATGGGCACAACTGACTTCCTTTTGTAGAAAATATTCCAATATTCCATTGTAGTGGTGTGACACACCAAGGCCAAATATTTATCCCTTTTCTTTTCTACTCTATTATTTATTATTTTCTCCTGAAAACAATAAACAACAAAATGAACAAAGAAAAAAGGATGCCCTTGGGTAATTAAAAAATGTCTATTCCTAAATAATCAATATATCACTTTAAACAAAACAGGGCTGTGGAGTCAGGGTTGTCGATAGTCACCTTCAAAGCATGACAAGATGTCAGGCAGTGACTAGTAAAGACAAGCCAAGGTATTTTAAATACTCCTTTAAGGAGCCTTGACTCTTGAGAATCAAGTGTGTGAATGAGGAACTAAGGTCTATATTTTAATTCTTCGTTGTCATTTTTGGGTTGAACATTTCAAAGTCTAACATTCTAACTCCAAAAGCACTATTCCTCAACATATCTCAACTATCTCTATCAAATTTATTTTAAAATTCTTGCTGTGAAAGTCCAAATGCCAGCATATTCCACATTTCATATTTCCTTAAGACCAAACATACTTTGTAATGAGGTCTTCCATAAACTGATCTTAGCCTAGCATGACTTATTTTGAAAGCAAATTACTCCCTTGTATAGAGAAAAAAATCTTCCTTAGATGCATGCTTTCCCCATTCCTCGACTGAAACTTCTGATATTCTTAATTCCACCCCTCAATCTAAAAATACTTTTGCCCCAGAGTACCCAGGAGGATTAAGATCCTTCTCCTCTGAGAAATGATGCTCTAAAGAATTACAAATATAAAAGCAAATTCTGTTCCCTTTGCTTTCAATTCTTATGTTAAAAAAAAAAATTCCCAATACCAGCTGGAAAGTCCTTGAAAAGCAAAGGTTAAAATAGCAGTACTGTCTAGAGCACACTGAGCAGTATGGGTCACTAGCAAAGTTGATATATTTACTGGGAACAGCAATTCCAAATCTTGTTTATGGTCCTGCAAATCCTTTAAGCAAAAGATTTTCTTCAATAATAAATGGACACCACTATACAGATTCCTAAACTTGCTACCTTTTCTTTTAGTCAAACCTTCTTTTCTAGTGTTATGTCTTGACATTTTAACTATAATGCATCTAAAGCCAGAGTTGTCAACTTATCCCAATGAAGCACAACCAAAATAACCACAAGGAGATCTTTGCTATCTCACTTTTCCTATCATCTTATCCCTCCAGAATTAGCTGACACGATGACTGATAATTTATGACAGTTTCCAATGCTATCTGCCTTGGATAACTGGAGGCTACTTGGATGACAGATTCTAAAGTGTTGTAGATAGCTGCCACTTGTCCTTGCAAGGGAGTGAATAAAAGACCACTTGTGCCACTATGTAAGAGCTGTCTAACAACATTCACCAGTATGCAAAATATCTAAACAAATTAGTTTCAATGATCAAAGCTTGACTATCATCTACATAAAAGGGATGTTCCTCTCAAAGGTGGCCATCTTGCTTTCTTAAAAGGAGGTAGCTATCAAACGATTAAATTGGCAGCATTTGGCATTCTTGACATTTTAACTATAAGAAAAATAAACCACTATATATTTTATTTCTAAGCAAAAACAAGAGCTCCAGCATAAATCTCTCCTATACTGGTCAAGAAATTCACAACACATTTTAAGTAACCCAATGGATATATTCAAAGTTTCAAAATGTTATTTCACAAATAATGTGGTCAGTTCTATCCCAAATCTAAGAATCTGATTTAAAGATAAGGAGCCAAAAAATTACACGGGCTATTTTAGTGGTTACAAACAAAATTTAAGTAATACAATCACACTTCTTTAAATTCAATTGCAGAGATCTACACTTTATTATTATTTTCAGCGTTTGAGCTAGAGGACAATTTTTAAGGATGGCATTTAATTCTACCTATTTGCCTGTCAACAAATACAGAACTGAACTGTTAGCCATAAGCACTTTACAGATCCAGGGAACTGTGCAAGAAGACATGACAGCGTAACTGGACTCTGAAAGATAGATAAATATTTTGACCTCACTTGTACAGAATGAACAGTTATGCCTGTGTGACTAAAGTTCTCTACTGCTATATGTGTTTATGATAGACCCCTAGTGTGCCAGTTTTCTGTATCACGGACGAATTAAGGGATATGTTCCTAAAGAAGTGAGGGAGAGGGAGCTACACGGAAGAGTCTGGGTGGAAGAGTGTTTTGTGGGAATGCAAATTACTTGTCACTATGAAGCAACTCCTAGGGTTTCCTCTAGTTTGGGGTTCAAGACAAAGGAGAGAATTATTTACCTTCCTTGAGCTCTTCCCAAAGCAATATGGACATCTCATAATCTATTCTAAAGCAATACAAAGAGATCACCAATTCTCTAAGAACATAATTTACATACATATTGGCCTGCATTAAAAAGAAAAAGGTTTCCATAAATGGCAGATTTTAGAGCTGTATGACCCATTTGGTTAAAAATAAAACAAATCAGGTTGAACTCAAAAAGAAACATTTTTACCAAAATCTCCAGGATAAAAACGAACACTGCCAGGCTAATGAACTCAACATCTGACAGTAATTACTTTTAAAATGTATATCCAAAACAAGAGGATCAGACTTATTTATCCTATAGAGCAGCTCGAGATCTTTGAGGCATCATCATTTGTTTAAATTACAACAATATGAATGTTTTCAAAGTGTGTTTAGGGGGAAAAGTGATTATAGAAAAATATTTGAAATAATTTGCCAATAAGGTTGCAGATTCTAACAATCCACATCATCTTAAGATTTTTAAATATGTAGTTTCATAATTTAAACAGATCCAAAATTCGTTTTAAACAAATTGTATCAAAGAGCTAGTTAATATAATTACTTTAACTTTCCATAAAAACCGAATAAAAATCACATTTGATTTACATTTTTATCTGATTGTATCCATCTGATATACTATACATCCAAGTACAAGAGGCAGATATCTTCTGAGAGGTGCAAGAGTTGTTCTTTCATGAATGCCCTCTAAGAATAGTGAAACCAGCAATTTTTATATATGCATTCGTGTGCATATATATGTACTTCAAAAAGCAAAGCGTCATCTCTTCATCCACTGTTAACTTAATGGTAAGACTGCAATAGAAAAAAATAAGTAAACTTCTAGATTTTGTAAATGGAGTTTACTAACTCATGGCTGTGGCTTAGACTTATTGCTTAATAAATCCAAAGAGCAAGTCATCTCACTTATTTTGGCATACAATTTACGAAAATAATTTTTGAGAATATATACAACAGGAAGTTACACTAATGAAAGGAAGCTCCAGCGGCACTTTGTGAAGATTTCCTTCCCTTAACAGTTGAGGTAGGATGTCTAATTATTTTGTTAAGAGTAAAGAGACTTTTTACCTCAAGGAGAAGTGGGTGCTTTTCTAATTGATCCTATGTCCAAGACAGGCTCCTCAATTAAGATTACACTCTACTAGAGCTTGGCTGACAATAAAGCATGAAGCATTACACATAACTGACAATGCGGAAGAGTGGTATAATCTTGAGCTGAATGCTGCTAAGGATCTCACCAAACCATGGCTGAAAAACACTACGGAGAGCTGCATGAGAGATGGGCAATATTACATACTCACGGCCCTGAATGCTCTAAAAATCTACCTCTATATCAAGCCAGACAAGCAGAGATTGCTTTTATTTAACTGTGCTTTGGTGTGATGCTATAAAACACTGAGGAATGTTTTTAAGAAGTCTGATGTAACACATCTCTGAGTTTACCTCAAGGATGCTGTTGAGGACAATGCTTACTACCTTCCAAAGGCTTCAGAGACCTTTGGGAAATTTCTCTTTCCAGTTTTAGTACTGGGAACACTTAATTTGTGTTTTTATCCCTTTAAATGCTTTACCTGAAATCTGAAATGGACTCTTTATACAAACACACCCCCTCTCCACCCCTTCTTTTAAAGTTTTAAAAGCTTGCTAATCTTCTATCCTAAAGTGGAGACAACTGTTCAGTTATGCTTATGGGACTATTAATGCATGTTAAATAACAAATTAAATACTTACATGGGGGCCACCAGGCATTGGTGGAGCACCGGAAGGTCCTGAAGGCACTTGAAAAGGATTACTGGGAGTGGGATAGAGTCCGGGTGTGGGATATGATCCTGCAGGGGCAGGATACGGTGCTGGTGGTCCCCAAGCTCCTGGTGGAACAGTGCCCCATGGAACAGGTGGTGCTGCCCCTGGTGCTTGGGGAGGAGGTGCAGGATATGGCCCCGGAGATGGGTATGGCATATTAGGGGTAGGATACTGCCCTCCCATTCCTGGTGCCCAAGGTCCAGAAGACATGGATCCCCATGGACCTAAAGGACCAGCTGCAGCTGGATCAGTGGGTGCACCATATGGTCGTGGAAGCTCTGGAAAGGGCATATTTGGTGTAGGATATGGCCCTGTGGGGCCAGGGCCTGGCACAGTTGGGGCAGGATAAGGACCACCAGGTGGGGGGCATGATGGTCCAGAAGGAGGAAAGGGTGCTGGGGGTCCTGGAGGTGGTCCAGTGGGAGGCACGGAGGGATACATTCCTGTTGGTGCTGGTCCGTAAGGCACAGTGGAAGGTGTTGCACTTGGTGGGAGTCCAGATGGCACAGAAGGTGGAGCACTTGGGTTATTCCAAGGGTTGGAACCGGGCCAACCTTGAGGAGGTTGGCCAGGTTTTGTATTGCTCACAGCAGAGGTTTTGGCAGGGGAGTGTTCAGGTAGCGCATCTGCCAACTGGAATACAAAACAGGCATGTCTTACTGATTTTATTTAGGGACAAGTCATGCCAAACATGATTATAAACCCATAAAGGGTAGTAAGCTATAGGGTCAGGGATTATAAACCTCTATAACATCTTCAAAAGCCAAGCTGTGCAGTTTAAAAACAATTCATTTAACACAAAACTTGTGGGGGTTACCTCAAATATCAACTTTACAACGTAAATTCCTCCGAGGCTCAAGTTTTCTAAATACAACTAATCAATGTACTGTGGATTTAAATCCTGGCTTTACCACAAACAAGTTATATGTTCTGAGCTTTTAGTTACCACATTCTTGAAAAACAGTTTTAGGGTTAACTTGAGGCTTAAATGAGATAATTCATATAATGCATTTAACATAGTACGTGGTATTTAATTTTCAATAAATGTTGGCTACTATTAACAATACCAGGTTAAAAGAACAGAATACTTTTTACATTTTTTAACGTAAGGATTCATAAAGAAATAAATACTACAGAATGCATTTTCAAATGTTATATCTAAGTAAATTAAGGCAAATAACCTATCGAAATCACATACTACCCCACTACCAAAATCCAAGAATCACAAAAAGCATCTTTCTTAAACTGAAAGACTTATGGCCCCACAGTGAGGACTATTTTGTTTTCTTAAGGGCCAAAAAACTTATAAAGAATAAATGCATCAACTTACCGAAAATTCATCAGACATTTTCCTAAAAACAAAAAACAAAAACAAAAACAGAAAGAAAGAAAGGAAGATGGAACATTTCAAAACCAGTGTTTACCATTTCTTATAATCTTTAATAAACTTTCTATGCATATATTATTTTTACTTAAATGGAATCTTGGTTATTCATGTAAAGCGTTTTTCTTTATATAGGAAACATTTCCATAACAGTTCATACAGCTCTATCAACTTCATCCCTTTTTACTGGCTGCATACCATACAAAAGTGATCCATAATTTAGTTTACGCACTCATTCAGATGGCAAATTTAAGTCTGTTTGCATTTTGTGTTGTTTGAAACTGTTTGATACTGTGAACATGTCTGAAAACATTCCTTTGCTCACTTGTGAGTCTATCACCAGGAAAAAAATACCAGACATAAAATTTCCAGTCAACAGGTAGTAATGGTAGTCATCTAAACTCAATCTCCAAAGTCCATGCCAATTTAAAAGATCCTGGTCAATTTACACTGCTTACTTTTTCCCTAACTTCCCTTCTAGCACTGGGCATTACTTATTTTTAAATTTATAAACATTTTCAATTATGATGAATTAATAATTAGCATCTTGTTTTAACTTAGATTTAAGTAGAAAGTAGAGCATCTTTTAAATTTAATACACCATTTACACTTCTTTTTCTGTGAATTTACTCATGTCCTTGGACTACCTGTATCAACTTTTAAATTGAAATATAATTAGCACTAAATAAAATGTAAGGATCTTAAGTGCTCAGGTCAACAAGCTCTGACAATTGTACATGTCTAAGATATAGAACCTTTCCCTTACTCCAGGTTTACTCACTATCCTTTCCAGTCAACTCCCCATCCCACCAGCAATCACTTTCTGACTTAGTTTTTGCTTGTTTTTTGACTTCATATAAATAGAATAAGACAGTAAGTACTTTTTGCTTTTGATTATTTTACCAATTAGTAGTACACATCTTTAAAAAAATGCTTTGTAAGACAGTAAGGAAATGAGCTGTCATATATGAGACAAAAAAAGTTTTATCCCAAGTTCCTTTTATCTGTAGATCTTTTAAATGGTATTTTGGGGCACTACAAATGTTTTTAATTTTGTGTAGTCAAATATATCGATCTTTCCGAACTACATGTGGTCTTGTGTACTCTAAGATTTAAAAAAAAAAAAAAAACAAAAAAACACCACACTCATCCTACGTTTTCTTTAAGTATTTTTATGGTTTAACTTGTTTAAACTCTTTCTGTTCTTCTTCCAAACAATAATTACTGAATAACCTATCTTTTCTTAACTGATATGATAAGCTACACTTAACACGTTCCATTGCTATTAACAAGTAATATTTATTGCACATTTACTATGGAATAGGCACAGTGCTAAGCGCATAATCTCATTTAACTGCCCTAGAGCCCTACAGATGCAAATTATATTATAACCTCCAGTTTATAACTGGAGAAGAGGAAGCTTATCAAGTTAACTTGTTTAAGGTCACAGAGCTAGTGACCAGCAGAGAAGGGATTCAAACCCAGGCAGTCCGACTCTATTGCCAAGCCTCTTAACCACCAGGTCTCTATAATTTCCCACAGATATTGCTGACTCTGTTCTTTTCTACTGACCAGCATCATCAAAACCTATCTCAATTACGGCAGCTTTACATTTTAAATATATTTTAATGTCAGTTGCCCTACGATTACTACCCTTTTCCTCACATTTTCCTGAACATTCTTGTTTCTTTTATGCAGATCATTTTGTTTAAAAAAAAAAAAAAATCTGTTGGTGTTCTGGTTGGAGCTGCATTAAATTTATGAAATATTTGATGTATTTAATATAAGATCTTCTCATTCAAGAACAAGGTATGTCTTCCTAGTTCCCATAAATGTTATTATCACTCAATAGTTTTTTAAAAAAAATCAGGTCTCCTACACATTTCTTGTGAGATAGATTTCTAACTGGTAAACTTTTTCCTGTGGTTGTAAACTGGCTCTTTTCTTACATTGTATTTTCTAACTGGTGGTTCATATACGGGAAAGGCTCTTTAAAATTTTAATGTATTACTTTAAGCAGTGACATTACTGAATTATTTTATTCTTGACAGTTTTTCAGTTAATTCTCTGAGATTTCCAGGTAAAGAATTATGGCATTTGCAAAAAAGTAATTTTGTCTTCTTTTTCATATATATACACACACTACTTTTTTTTTTTTTTTTTGCATCAACTAGGACTTAAAGAAATGTTAAATGGTAAGCACAGAAGTCTTGTTCCCAACTCTCCTGGGAATATTTCTAATGTTTAATGTAATTCACATTTTTAGTTTGAGATTTTAAAAAATTACATTAGGGAAGTTTCTATATATGTCTCTGTTGCTTTATTTATCCTTATTTTGCTAGTTAAAACAATAAATCAAAGAAGACAGTAAGTTCCTTCGGAAGCTCTTTTGACATCTAATGGGTTGATCTCAGATTCTCCTCTTTTGATTCATCAACGCAGTTAATTATATGTATAGATTATTTAATATTGAGACATCCTTTCATAAGAGTTTTATTTTTAAGTATGACTTAGTTATCATGAGGCATGATGAAGAAATAGAACACAAGGCCTACTAAGTCACAACTGCTAAACCTTGCTTTTTATTCAAATGTGAAAAAACACATTTTATTCAAATGTGAAAAAAACACAGCAAATATAATTATCCATCCAACCCCATGTTAAGGTTTGTTTTATACTAAAATGTCACACTGCATAATAGTAAATTTTTAGGACTAACACTTTAAGAAATTGTCAGTGAATGATGAGTTTAAAGTACACGTAAGATGAATATGATTTTCAAACAAGGTGAGCCTTTCTGAAATAGAAAATGATTCTAGATCAAAGTTCACATTAATTCTGGAGCTGAGAATTAACAAAGCAATCCATTCAATTTTATATGGTCTTGCTGTTCAGATTTTCAGAATTACTTTTTCCAAAAACATATAAACATAAAGTTAACTAGTCATAGAATATGTTATCATGCGTAAGTTAGTAGTATTAAACAGACTCGCAATTCTGTCTTTCAAAAATTTAGGTTCAAAATCAAATCCTGGAAGATTGAAGTACTAGAATCTTATGATTAAAATAATGAAGCCCTAACCAAAAGTATTAGCAATAGGTCACTTCCTGTTCTATGACACTGCATAGTAAAGTGATCTGCCCTCCATGCCTAGAATGAACAGTGTGAACATTAATTGAAAACATTCCAATTTGCATTTTTGGGGGATACTTTCATCATAAAAAGGTTAAAAAAAAATCAAGCAGAATATTAGTGTTTCAATATGAGAAGAGATGCAGAATGTAAAAAAAAAAAATCTAGATTTTCTACAAAACTATTCTAAAACATCTGGATTATGCTAATTAAGATGAGATCAATGTAACTTTGAACGCCCCACTCCTCTCCCTGGTTTTCATTTTCTTTCTGGAATTATCCAAAGCTGTTCCTTCCAAAACTTTCCACTACCACTTGATGGCAGGATCTATGCATCATCTGAAAGACATTCATTTAACTGTCTGAGCAGCAAAATAGTAATTTAAAGAGAGTACAAAATTTCTTTTGACATACACTATTAAAGTAAAATAATTCTGTAACTTCCATGTCCTTTAGAGTCAAAACAGTAATTCAATCTCAGGGAGGTTTAAGAAAGTTGAACGTCATAAATTTGTGACTACTGGACAAGAAATATTTTGAACTGTGGAGTGATATATATAGTATGGGACTACTTGGTTATGAAACCTAGACATCAATCCTGACTCTGTCTTTTGACAAAGGCAAGCTTAGCCTGAGACCATTTTCTCAACTGCCAGTTATAATTCCTGCTAGTTGAAAATAACATATATTATCTATGAAGTGCTATAGATATGTAAGATGTTTAAGAGAAACTAAGCGAAATCAAGATTTCTGCATTGATTTGATTGGGGTGGAGGATGGTAATATCTTGTACGAAAATATAAATTTTGAATTAAAAATATGCGTTTTTAGTATTGGCTCTTATCAGATACATTCTATCTTACATGTGGGCAACTCAAGAAATTGGGAATTTGAAAGTTTTTGAACATTTTAAATTTCTTTAAAAGATAATTAAAAAATCACTTTTCAACAACCTCACTTCAGAAATATTTTCTACATTTATTCAGCTACTTCTTGGAACATATGTGCTAGGCACTGTGTTGGGCTTTGGAGAAATGAACAGTATTGCATAGAATAAATAAGGAGGTGACAGTGTCTGGTGATCTACTATTTACATAGTTACCTGAGGTAAGCAGAAGGCACTAAGGGAGTACCTCAAAGAGCTCCTAAAGGAATCAAGGAAGGTATCAGGGGAAGAATCCTGAGCAGTGGTGCTTTTGGAGTCTAGAACAATGAGTAAAAAGCTGGGAGTAGCAGATGGCGGGATAGATAGGCCTTAG